TAAAACAACGATCTTGCGCTATTAAAATAACATAACTTTTTCGCTTTTAAAAAAACTTTTATGTCTCGTTTTAAAAATTTGCATTTGAATGAATGTTCATGTATAAACGATTATGCTTAAAAAGTTTATGCCCTTTGTTGAAATAAATTTTGTATCTAAAAAAACTTCCTAGCTAGAATGGTAAAAGTTAAAAAGATAAAATAATTTTAACAAGAACATTTTAATAAAAAACATTGTTTTAAAATGGAAGAAAAAAATTATATAAAATTATAACATGAAAAACTGAACACTTATTCATCTTCTTTTCTCAAATGTCTGAAAGTGGTGGGTTGGTTTGATGGTGCGTGTGCAGCTGTTTTATGGACTTTCATCCTACCCTCTTTAATTCAATGTTGTCTCATCAATGCAGTTACATCTCTACTGCATTTACTTATTTGTGAAAAGAGCTGAATTAGTTAGTTGTGCTAATTTAAATCATTCCAATGTCAGACCGCAACAATACACATATCAAATATTATTATTTCAAAAGACTGCGCAATTAAAATAAACATTAAAAAATTAATTGAACAGAGTGTTGACATTAATCAAAATTTATTTTCCTTAACTTAAAAAAGAAAAAAATGTTTGCTTGTGAAAGAAAGTTAAACGAGGGTAACTGAATGTCACATGGGAAACGTTCTTTTATATTCAGTGCTTATTTTATTTATTTATTTCTTCAAAGACACAAAAATTAAACAGAAAGATACTTGTAATAGTGCCTTAACTAAAAATTGTCAAAAAAATTTCGATGAGAAAACTAAAATGACTAAATTTTTGCAAGACACATTGCATAGTTACACATATATATATGTAAATATATATAAAACATTATTCTAAGTTATGATAGTAGATGACAAATTATAAAAAAAAATTGAAATAAATCTATGTACATACAACTTGTTTGGTTGACAGCATTTTATTTTTTATTTTAGTTGATTAATAACTTTTCCAACTTTGTGCGCTATTTCACTTTATTATAGTTATTTAGTCACCAAGATTACAATTTTATATCATAGACGTTATTTCTTGCTAGAATATATACAGTGTAATAAAAAATACATCGGTGATTAATTCTTTTATAAGGGAACAAATTGATAGCAGTCACCCTTCTAAATTGGCAGGTTCGATTTGAAATGAATGCTTTTCTCTACATCTTTTCTACTTATTCATTCTGTTGAAAAGAAGCCAGCTCTAGAAAATAACTGTAATTAAGTCGTTGATGACTCGTTTGGTCATTTGCGTTCATGCATTTGCATGTACAACATTGTGTACATCATTACATTTTGTACTGTATTAGAAATATTTTTACAAAAATATTCAACTTCAATATATATTTGTTGAGAATTATGAATTGTTATAAAACTTTTTATTTTTGTCCAAATGTCAATAAATTAGTGAAATTTTATTTTATTTGAACAAGTATATAACAATCCATTACTTAATTTTAAAATAAGGACAAATACAATTTAAGATAACGATTTGTCCAAAAATGTAAAACGATTCCGAAAGACTTGATGACGTGAAACGTATAAAAATAATTTTAACAAAATCAATCCAGTCAAATTTTAAAAAAACGTTTTTTAAAAAACAATCTCCCTGCGTTTAAGTTTTCATCACATCAAAACGCTTATGGTTGAAAAATGGTTTTCAGCTAGATGTATTACTGACAGTAGAAAAAATAAATAATTTAATTACTTAATTAATATATACGCGAATGAAAAACCACTGAAACAACTGTATATGCAACACTCAATTTTTTGGTTGAAAGTATGTAACATTAGGAATATTTCCTGAATATTTTAAGCACTCAGTTTTAACACACGTGTTGGACATACGTGACATTAATTAGACGAACTCGATGACAATAAGACACCCTTACGCAAGCATAGCGCCTCATACAAACACCGCACCAAAGACACAACAACAACATACAAATACAAACTAATTCACAGATACCACACAAACAATACACAAACAACACCCAGACTAATTAATGTGCACATACGACGTCAGCCTCACAACATGTAGTTATGTGTTTCTATTGTGGGCAACAATCTGACAGAACCTGCTATGATACGAATAAATAAGAAAATCGGGAATGTCGCCACTTTTATGCCACACATTCATAACAAAAAAATATAGAAAACGCATACAAGATGAGCAAAAATAGCATCATTACCTATCTGGGGAAGTTTTTGTTAGATCTTGGTAGCTTGCCAAATTACTAAACTGGAGAGTTAATCGTGATATTGAGTATACCAATAGACAAAGAACATGGACAAAAATAATTGTTTTGATTTCTTGTTAATTGTGTGTCTATTCATCTTAAAAAGTGTTGCTGGATGTTGGTCAAAAGAAAAAATCTTGGCATGGTTAAGAAGCTCTCCTCGCCGTACTTGTTCAAGGCTGCTGTCTGCGACTAATTATTTATTCACAACAGTTGAAATTAATAAAACACCAGGAATGAAATAGCAGAGAGACACACATCTTGCATCGACGACCGCCATCCAACTACTAACATTCAATTTGATTCCAATGCTGTGGAATGCAACACGTCATTACGTGAGCACAAGATGACCAGATGCACACTTCTTGCAACGAACGTACGTGATAAAAAAACTTATTACTTATTAACAAACACAATAAAGAATGTAACGACAATCACGTTTGTTTTAACAACATAAGCAGAAAATAAACAACAAATGCTGAACCAATTATCATATTAAAAATGATATCTTCTCTAAAAAAAATGATTGAACTTTCATGCAACCACTAGCAACCTTACACCCAACAATAATAATGGAAGCGATGAATCTGTGAGAATATCTTGCTGGGATGTCACGTTGTGATGCACAATGTAGAACTGTGATGTGTGGTCCTCGTGACACGGAGAGGACATTTATATAAGTTACAATATAAACTGGTCACTCACTGGTTGACTGGCTGGCTGGACAGACAACAGACAAGAGTTAAAAATTTATTAATGTCACATGAACACGTGGAGTAGGTGTGAATGTAGGGGATTGGTAGGAGTTTGGGTAGGAGACAGATAGAACATTATTTTATTCTGACATTTAAGACAAAACTCGGTCTATTTTATTCTATTGTGGTTTTTATACAACTTTTCTTTTGGCGTCACTGCAAATTTTTTTAAATGAAATTTTCCTACAAAGTATTTTCATTCTTAGAAGCCCAACACTGACCATATTGTGGACGTTTAGTAAAACCGACATTTTTTTAATCGCTTTCTAATTATTTGCATAATATTTTATCACGTTAAAACCAACATTAAAGTTATACAATTTTTTATCACATTTTAAAATAAAATATAATATAATATTTGAAAAGGTTTCTATACAAATTAAAGAAGAACTTTTGTCAGAGTTGCACCGTTTCATATTTTTCTTCATTGCTTCCGCACAAAATGTAATAAAAGTTATGAATTAATTCTGCAAGAATTAAAAGGTATTCAACATTCAAAATTTCAATGCTTGATTAATATATTGTTTAAGTATTATTTACATTTAAGTGTTTTTTTATATTTTACCAACGCTTTAAATTTCTTTATTCATTTTTCTGTGTATTTAGTGGTAACAATACTGCTTCACGTTATTTTCGTTAAATTTGACATTCGAACATTTTGTCAGGGGAATTATTTTGAGAGATTTTTCTATATTTCATCCGGTGGCCTTTATAATTTAGCGTCATCATGCGTCATACAGCCATGCCGTTTTTTTAAGCAAACTACAAACACCACACAACACACACATACACGCGCACATACACATACAATACACACACACAAATAACACACAAACCGAACACTCACATTTGTAAGCATTCGATAATAAATTCTCAAGATTGACATCTGCAGTGGTGCAAGAAATATTTTTTTTAAATTGCGCTGGTTGGATGTTTTGAACATGTTGTGAAGCTATTCAAAAAAATTTTATTTATTGATACTGTTAAAACACAAAATAATTTTTGTTGTAAAATTTATAATTGCTGATATTGATTTTGCTTCTTGTACTTCTGTATTTAACATTATAGGTTTATGGTTAAAAAAGTACAACAAACATTCAACAAATTATATTAGTACTTTGAAATAAAGAATAAAATTAATTTCACTGGCGGATTTTTCAAATGAATAGAGAGAGAAAGATTAAACAAAGAGCTAAGGCCCAAATGCATTGAATAGTGTTATGACACTGCTGAAGTGATTTCAAATCGACTTTTAATAGTCTCGTCCATAGAGAAGTTGTTATGACAATGCGTGAAAACACCTCGTTACGTATTCAGACGTGTGCTTTCATGTCATCGTTGCTTTGTTGTACAAGAAACTCCGCCATGAATCGCCGTGAACATTAAAGCTATGTTTTCTAATAAATAACATTTCTCGCATTGAACGCTTCGAAACCAAATAAATTGGTTAGGTGCAAAAGGAGTGTTAATATTTTTATTGAGTTTCTTTTTGTTGTCCGATTAGCGATTTTAACTGAAAATAAAACTGGTTTGGTTGTTGCACAAATTCTTTTATTACAATATAAAAATCTGATATAAAACAAAAAGTAAAATACATTACAATCTAAATATTAGCACGAACAATTATACACAATTCATATTCAACATTTAAAAATACGTAGAAAATGTACGTAGAAAATATAACAACAATGCTAAATATATACAATTCAAAATTTAACAAATATTTAATAATTAGTGTACATTTGACAACAAAGTCAAAGAATTGAAATTTAATGAATAGTTACAGTTTAAATTAAAATAAAATAATCTGAATTAAATAAAATATTTTAAGTTTCGATAAATTAGAATAAAATAAATATAACAATTTATTTTTTAAAAATGAATGAAATAAACGTTTTCAAGTCTTTATAAAAAACAAAAAATTTTCTCGAATAAAACAATCCAGGTGTCCAGGGGATGTACCGTAGAGTGCAAGCAACTCATGTGTATGGAAATAAGTTAACAACTGGTGATTCAACATCTATCTCTTCATCGCTGTCTTCACTTTCCTCCTTTACATTGTTGGTTTGGTCATCACAACCAGCATGATTGTTCCGGTCATTACTGCCACCACAACTGACCTGGTCAGTAACATCAGCATTGATACTCCCACGAAGACAACTTGCTCTGGAATGAACATTTTCCTGTGAAGCTGGAGGAATGTTTGAACATTCGTTGGACGTAGGCACGTGTGGATGTTGGTCATTCATGTGTACAAAATGCTCCTCGGACTGTCTCGTCGAGTGACCACACTCCTCACACACGTACAACTTATCTCTCCTTTCCTTGTGCTTGTAATTGAACTGAACGTTGTGCACCTTCCGCGCGTGTGACTCCAGTGAACAACGTTGTGTGAATGCCTTGTCACAATGCTCGCATTTGTATGGACGGACTCCTGCATCAATTTTAAATTCAACAAAGTTATTATTCAATTGACCAAAATCGTTTTATTTGTGATTTTGTTTGAAAATCTTAGAAATCAGAAAAAAAATATGTAAATGAAAGCCAACCAGTGTGTGTTCTTGTGTGTCTCTTCAAATCGAAAATGTCGTTGAAACCTTTGCCACAAAATGTGCAGAGGTAGCGTTTGATGTCCGTGTGGCACTTGACGTGGCGATTGAGAAGTCGCTGCAAAGGAAAGCTTTTCAAACAAACTCGACATAAGAACTTGTTGTCTTCTGTCTGCACATCTGTACAATTGAAAATCATATGGTTAGTATTATAAGTTAGATTTATTTGTTCATTATCGCTCATGATGTACTTACTGAGATCTTGTCCTTCGTGCAACTGTTTGATCAGGTGGTTCTGCAGTAGTGGGTTCTTTATTCCTCGTCCACCGTTTACCAGTTCAACGTTGCTTTCAACTGGTTTTTCCTGCAGACAGATTCGCTTGCTTGGCTGTGGAAGAACTTCATTTGCCACAAAACTCTTGCTGTTGGAGGAGTTAGAAAAAGTTTCGCTGGTGTTTCGAAGATCAAGTGATGTTCCACTGAATAAATTGCTGTTTCCACTTTTAAATCCAGAGTCTTGTTGCTGTTGAGATTGAAACCAACTGCAACTGCTGCTGCTGTTTAAATTTTGTGGAGTGCTGTCCGTGTTTAGGAAAGTTTCATTGCATTTGTTCGTTTGAAGTTTTGTGTTGTATTTTAAATTGTGAGCAAGAGGTGTGCTGTGATGAAGAGGTGTTGATAACGTTGCATCAAACTGAAGGCGTTTTTTAGCTCTGCTGATTTTTTGGTCTGGGATCAAATTAAAGTGTTGAATCTCAGTTCCATACACTTCCTTCACTGGCGCAATTTGACCGGATTCACAAAGAAGTACAGGAACCACATATTTGTAGTCGTTTGCAGAGCTGCTCGTGTTGTCCTCTGAATCAGCTGTATTATTTGTTGTCAGTTTTTCTCCAGATGATTGGACAAGCAAATGGACTGAACTGAATATTGATGGTTTTCTGGTGTTGCTGTTTTTGCTAATGTGGATGTTTGTTATTTGTGAGTCATTTAGGCCAACTGCATCAGTGGCATTGTTTTCACGCGGGATCTCATGTAGTAACATCTTAGTGCCCAATGACCATCTATTTTCCATTCTTACAATAAATTACACTAGCAGGACTAATAGTTTTAATGAGTTTTTTGAAATGTTTGCAGACAGTTCTAAATGTTTTGTAGGCAAGATTAGCGTCCGTACCAGTTGAAAATTGAAGAATTTAAATAAAAAAATTGTTTACTAAGTGCAAATACAAATGTTTAATGAGCTGCTCAAAACAAATTTATAAGTTGGTTACATAACGTTCATTTTATATAGTCTAAAAGTTAAATTGTTAGCTCCTCCCCCTTTGTTAATAACAACCAATTGCATTGCGTGTCACGATAGTTATGAGTAGGTTGATCTGATGATATAAATTGTTTTCGTTGTATTCATTCTTCTTCATTCAACAGCATCAACAATCAATAGTTTATAAAGACGAGCAATGTTATAAAGAAGTTATTGG